TATTTCGTATTCCCGTCGGTATGAGTCAATTTTTTATTTAAACAAGGGCATACCATTTTCAACATTTTTCAATAAAAACCCCTCCCTTTTTTTTATTATTCCCCCCCCCCCCCCCTCACTTTTTGTTCATTTTCAAAATATCCCCCCCCCCCACTCCCTCCCGGGAAGGTAATAAACGATCGGTCCCTAAGAACTGGGATTTCAGCGCGATTTCTGTATCGCAGCAATTTCCACGCCGATTTCCAAACTAAACAGTCCACATCGGATAGGTGCTTATAATACGGATGGCGTTTTGTGTCTGCACGGAAAGCTATCCTCTGTAGTGTCAATATGGCTGAGACATGAGTCATCTGAGGTCACAAGAGTAATAGGCTCTTTGCATGACTTGATCACGTGACCTACTTTCGGTAAACTCGAAAACAGTCACATTTTGAAAAATTTTGTTAGGGCAAGCTGAAAGAGCATATTAAAATTAAGTGACCTGAGAATTTTCAGCCGTATATCTCAAAAATAGCGATTGCAACGACCGCCGAAAGTTAAAAGCATTTGTATGGGAAAAACAACTTTTGCCACCCAGTCACGCTTGCATGGTTTTCTATAAGAAAATCCATGTAAATTCTAAAATTTTTAAACTGTCGTTAAATCTTTCCTTTACGCATTTAAGGGCTCAAGTTGTCTTTATGGATTAAAAGGAGATTTGAGCCCTGTAATGCTTAAGGAAATATTTCATGACAGTTTTGAAAATTTCGAAATTACAAGGATTTATATGGAAAACTGGATGGCAAAAGTTGTTTTTGTCATACAGATGCATCCAACTTTCGGCTGCCGTTGAAATCGCTACTTTTGAGAGGTTACCTAATTTCAATATGCTCTTTCAGCCTGTGCTAACAAAATTTTTCAAAAGTGAACTGTTTTCGTGTTTACCGAAAGTTGATCACGTGATCAAGTCATACAAAGAGCCCATTCTTTGGCGAACGGAAAGTTTCCTTCGAGGGTCACATCAAACTGAGCTTTAAACGTAACAGTAAAAACTCAAATACCAGAAATCACACAGAACTGAAAATTGACGTGCGTTTTGACAAAAATCATCTGCATTATAACTATATAGATTGACTTAGTAATGCTGAAGGGGAGATGCAGTAGTGCTGTTGAAGGCCGTCGAGCAGTTATTAAATCGCCTAAATGGTATCATGCATGGGTGAGGTTAGTTCCTCTAGAATTTGGATGGTTTGCAATATCTGGCATTTTTTGGAAGAATATTGTAAACACACGTAAATAGAACAGCGTGCCAACCAAAGAAGAACATAAGGAAGCTTGTTTTTCGGATTTGCCAAAGACTGATGAGATTAAAAACTGCGTTCTTCTCAGAGAAAATTCGTGCTTGGTGTATTAATATAATTAATAGGACTGATGTTCGGTTCCCATACTTTTTTGTATGCACAACTACAGTTTCCCAGCCATGTATAGCAGGAAAGCAATTCGAAGTCCTAATTTGATAACCACAAGCCTTTCTTTTTCAAGGTTGTAAGTTAATCTTCAGATTTAATGAGATTAAACCATTGTTTTGAAGTTACAGGTTGTCTTAAGTCCTTATTTCACTATATTGCAACAATAAAATTTCTGCCAGGACATGTGTGACGAACAGGTGACACTACAGTCGCATGTTGAAACTGCTCAATGCCGTCATAAACCAATTAGCAAGTTTACATGTAATTCGTATGAGTGTAACCTATCGTGCTTAACCAATTCTGATCTCCTTCGCGGCTGTCCGTCTGATGCCATCAAGAAGAGCTATTTGAGGCATTTTCCGGCCTCTATCTTGCTTAAAATTAAAGGTTCCAAACTATCCGAAACTTTGCATACCTGTCGAGTATTACACCGGTCGTGCTGTTCCCAAAGCTTTATAATAGCTTGCGAAGCTCGCACAAAAGACTTTCACCGTCCTCTCAAGTTTTGCCTTTCGCTTTCCCCCTCCCTACTTCTTTTGGTTCTCTTCAACTTCCCGTTCTTTACGTTTTTCTTAGGCCCTTTTGACTGAATTCCCCTTTGTTTGGATATCATTTAAAAGTCATCTTTGCCCTGCACAATTCAGAATGCAAAGTTATATTACCTTTAATTTATGTCTCTGAGTGAGTTACTCTTTTTAAATGGTTAAGTTGGTAATTATTACATTTGTGATCAAATGTTATTACATTTGTGACCTTTATTACATTTGTGACCAAATGTTATTACGCTTGTGACCTTTATTACATTTGTGACCAGTTATTACATTTGTGCCTTCAACAACGTTAGTAACTCGGTGCTGGTCTGCCATTCTGCGCGATGCATGTCATGGAAGCCCCAATTCCTCTAAACATACACAGCCCACGACCCCAATCATCAATGGCCTTCCACTCTGGCCTTCCTCTCCCACCTTCCTTCTGGCCACTTAGATGTAGATTCTATGCACCGTCAGCAGTTTCTTTGTTTTCTTTCTACACTTCAGGGTCAGGTCTGAAAGCGCAGTGTCGCAGTATTGCGGTTAACGGTTTCACGTTACAAGTCCGCTCATATTTGGGACTTTGCGGGTGATAGCTGTGCGGTGGCCATGTTTGTTTCAATTCACCCACTTCTATTTTAGCTGAGAAACTGTCTTCAAAATTACGTTTTTTAAAATGCAATTCGATAATCAATAAGCAAAAGAGTTCTAAAAAGTGGTTTTTCTTCTTAAACGTGGGATTGTGAGGTTTCATGGTGAAAAAACCTTGCGGTAAATCACTTACCTCTAAAGCGTGGTTTAGCAGTATAAGGGTGAACCTCTTGCCGCAAACTTGACGGCAAGGCCCTGGTCACGTGACTTCTTGACGTTCGCAGTTCGCGAGAAATGCCGAAAAACCTCAATCTTAAGGTCTCTTAAGATAGTACTTTTAAGTGTGACGAAGCAATTTCCCCTGTTTAAAAAAAGATCGCGTCTTAATCATATTTATATTCACGTTTAAGAGACGGGAATGGGTGTGCAGCTCGAACTGTGAGCCTGAGTGTTTATTGCCCACCAAATAACATACAAAGTTCAACATCATAACTAAAGAATGGTATACAAATATTCCTAAATAAGGTCACTCAGGTTAAACTATTCACCTGCGCTGCCTGATACGAAAACCCATAAACCCAATAGGAATAAAAAAAAAAGGTGAACGTATTCCCCAACAGATGCGGTCCCATAGCCTCTGGGGGTTTAAGGTAAAAAATCAATCGATAGATGGATAAAGTAAGATATAAAAATAAAAGTTGATAGTCCGAGAGTTGAGATGAATGATGAATACATTACAACTGCCAAAACCTTATATACCTGACAACAATAGGGTCAATTAAAGCTATAGCGGCTCACGTGCGTTCATACCAATAGGAAAGTATTTACATTCTCTGTCATTGCTACTACGTTTAGCTCCCCCGAATGTAAACACATTATGTCTTAGGTCTATGTCAAATGGATGTGTGAAACGGGATCAGGTGTTCAGTTTTAAAGACGTGTAGTCCGTGCCGTACAAGAGACGGAAAGACCGACTCTCAGGAGGCAGCCGTTATATATTGTGGCAATTGGGATGTTCTCAGAGTACCTCTTTCAAATCAGCCAACAGTCCAAGCAGACGGCGTTCACATTACCACCAGTCAGTCTAAGACCCAGGCGCACGCCATTGACTAACAATACTTAGTGTTACCTATCAACAGAAACCGCCCCGGAAAGGGCATGACCAAAATATCATTACCAAATAAACATGTTTCAAATCGTGACTAAAATTTAAACTTTGACAGGCTCTTTAACGTACACTACAGCTTACGATATTGAACTATTTTGCTTTTATTGTTTAGTGTAACTAATGTAATATGTTGTAAAAAAAGATAATGGGTTACATGGATCACACGTGAGAAGCAGGTCTTTGATGCGAGAGGTGACCCATTTTGAATTTTAAATTAATAATGTTTTAATCTGAAAGTTGATAAAGTACAATTCGTTTATCGTTTGACAGACTAATAACAACTATATAGTCATAAAAATATATTTTTTGACGTTGATAGATAATTGGTCTTTTTCAGAATAAAACCTGTCTTTCCTGTTTTTTAGTGTTTTGATAAACCCCTCGGTCGCAGCTGAGCGCTTCTCAGCGGATAGACAGCAGCATTTATTTCCTAACAACATTTCTAATAGAGTGATCAATGACAAAGAAGTTGCTCATCGAATCTGCACCTTTATTTTAAAGCATCTTACACTGTAGTCGCGACTTAGCTTTTGAGAATGCTCTCCTATGCGATTCCTCTTTACTTATGCTTGATCTCAAGTGAGGCTTTATCAACAACAAAAACATCGTTCCCAAGGGCAATTTTTACGAAGGAAAACTCGAGATTGAAGGGATACTCTTTTAAATGGCATGTGACCTCCAGCCAGATATCATGCACTCAAGCTTGCCTCAGGAACCCAAGATGCTACTCAACAAACTTCAAAGAAACTGGACTACATGGTGCCAGACAAGAAGGCACGTGTGAGTTGAACACTGAAAGCCCGTTGGATCTGATAAGTTTGGAAAAGGATTTACATTATGAATTTGGAAGTTTGTAGGCTTCATACTCAAGAGACAACATGGTGAGTTTGCTCTTAAGTTCTCTTTCATTCCTTATTCTTGTCGCTTTTTACCTTTTCTTTTTATTTGAGCGTCATTTTTAGGGCCCTTTACCTTTCTCTAAGATGTTTTTTGGCCATAGAAAAAAGCAAAGTCTCGGTGATGCAAATGATCTAGCCACTCTGCGGGGTTCAGGACGTAACGTTATTATGAATCACAGCTGTTTGCACTTTTCCAAACTTATATTCTGTTGTTCCATAAAAGTGAAAGCCATGGGTTTGCTTACCCCTCACAGCTACATAGGTAGTATTACAGAGGGTCTATGATCCTCTTAGATTCTTATTGTTAGGGTAAAGAATTTGTAACAGTATAGCTCTGGATCTAACCTGATAATCAACAAACGGACCGTTTTGTATAGTTTATATTTATCACCTGTGTGTCCCAGGCATTATTTAAGTTTTACTCTTTTCATATCGACTACCTCAGCCATTCTTGGTCTCATTTTCCGGCAGCAATTACACGTTATATTTTTAAAGCCCATAAATTTAAGTTAGTGGAACTTTAATGATCGCTGGACACATAATCTGTAATGCACACAATTATTTGCTTTATTGGCCACTCGCATCGATTCCACTTTAAAAAAAAGGATATATTAAATTCGCAGTAATAGAGAGGTTTTCATTTATGAGGTTAAAAGCACGAACTTTATTGGAAAAAAATTCCAGCAATCTGCAGAAACTCGATCGCCTGGAATATCACCTGACTCTCATTAAAATAACTCTTTTTCTTAAACTCACCTAGTTTCTATTTTAAAAGAGAGGGAATATAAACAAGATCAGTTATTCACAACCGGTGTAGGTTGACAAGAGGGCTAAATGAAAATGGCACATATCGGAAATACTGTGAATAGGAAATAAAATTATTCGGTGTTTTTTTCCTTCCAAATTTTAATGAAACCTCATTTGTCACCCGCTCAGAACTTAGCAGATATCACAACCACGTACCCCATCTGAAATTTGACTCATTATGCATTAAAACATCTATTAAATATAATTTCTGCTGAGGAGGTCAGAAATTAAGGCTTTCTGTCTCAAACCTTTTTTTTTCTAATCCATCCAAGAACATCAAATACGCACAGCATGCATATGGAGACGGGTCACATAGTCGGGCCTAAAACAAAAACTTATAAACACACGTATCTTGAAGTATATCTGAAAACCAAAACAAGGATATATAACAACCTTTTTGCCACAATGACTTTCTAAAAGATAAAGGGTAAATGAAAGGGTGAAAATTAGGGACCATTTCAGTACAAAAGTTTCAAATGCTCATGTAATATCTGCTCCATTAAAGTGACAAAGAAAACAGTGTCGAAAACATTCTGTAGTTCCGTAAATATAATTTCTGACTAGAAGGCAGAATTTCAGTGATAAACGCGAAATTCAGCCCTTTTACTGTATGTCAATTTGATTCAAAATCGCGATGATAAATGCTCTTTTTTATCACGGATTTTTTAAGTGGATAAGAAAAAAAGAAAACAAATATTTGACTTTCATAACTAATAAATTTAGGTTAATTATCTTAATTAAAAAAACTGCATTTGTTCCAGCCAAAATAGACGTCGTATTTGAATTAAGATTTGTTTAGTTTGACTAGAATCTAAAAATTTAACGGAAATAGTTCTCCTTTTTTTTAGCCGATAAGAAGCTGGAAAAAAAATATATCATTCTGCCCTCGCGCTGGGGTAGTCAGGAGTTAAAGACTAAAAAAAATATTTTATATCCAAATTAAATCGTCCTACTTTCCAAAAATTACTAACTTGAAAAAAAAAAAAGAAAAAAACAAAAAACAAAGGAAGAAGAACAAAAAGGAAAAAACAAAAAACAAAAGAAACAATAGCAACAACAACAACAACAAACGAAATTGCACATATTTAGACATTTTTGATGATTGTGACGCTGTCGCCATTTAGCTACGTTTCCGGATTTACAATGTTTCTAAATGGAGGTTTTCGGGAAAATATTTTCGATATATTTTCTTATATTTTATGGAAAGAGTAGATCTTGGGGAAAGCAAATAGAATCTGAAGTCGTTCGCAGGTAATAAACTTCATTTACGAGGAAAGTTCCATTTATAGTTTAAATTTCGATCTTTTAATGTTGCTCCTATCTCAAATGCATGGTTATCTCCTATTTCCTGTTTAGATTTAACAACCACGAACTCTGAAATTTTACATTGATAGAATTACAATCCAGTGAAGTCCAACGAAGGTTACCAGGCGCTCTAGCCAATTCCACAACTCAATGGTGAATTTGCGATGGAATCTAAAGGGGCTCGCCAAATATGCCGTAAATGACCTAATAAACGCTTTTTTCCAAATGAACGCCTCTTATCTAATAGACACGACCTCTACGCTCTTAAAATTGTCTTAGACGCCCCTCTCTAAACGCCCCGCATGAGAATTGTACTCTAAAATACTAAGAATTGGAAAGAAAGGAGCAAAATCATTTCATACATTCAGCTTCTTGCTTGATTAACAAGGCTTTGTGTATTTCGTTTCATTGTTCAATGTCAAGTTCAAAGTAAGGATAGACTAACGATGGCAACACAAAAACCCTGAACGAGGATTCTGACATCGGTGTTGGGATTTGAAAGAGCGATATGGATCTCTTGACGGCCTAGACGTAACAATTGATGGAGTGGATATTCCGCTATTTTAAAGCTAAGCTTTCTTGATATTTTTTCTGAAAGCATATTACTTCTGTGGTGCTTTTTACAGTTTTGGGAATAAACGCCTCTGTATTTTAAACGCTTCCTATCTATTAAACGCCCCCACTTGGACCCCTTGAATGAAATAGACGCCCCGGGCGTTTATTACATGTAGGTGATTTACGGTAGCGGCCTGAGATTGCTACCTTCCACAAAAGAGAAACTATGTTTATAAAAAGTAATGATAGTGATGATTTAATCATGACTTTTCAGTGTATCTCCACATTTTATCTTAGGATGACTGTCGATGGATTGGATGCCAAAACAATGGTGCTTGTGTAAAAATAAACGAAGAATATACCTGCGAGTGTGGTGTCCAGTGGATTGGGAAATTTTGCGAAACAAAAAACAGTGAGTATGATTAGAGTTATTTATCCTTAGCCTGTGTACAAGCTCTTCATTTAAGAATCGATTGCAAGCTAGCGAAGGTTCTTTCACAGCTTGACGGCGCGGGATCTTACATTAGAGAGATTAGAGTTACGTTTGCGGCAAACGGCAAACGTCAGATTCAAGTTGTGACTTTCTTAAAATACAAAACGTGCAGCTAAAAAAATAGCCTTTGTGGCAGGCGCAAAAAGGGGAGGGAGAGGGGGATAGAGGGAGAAAAGCACTAAAGAGGGGAAAGGGAAGGGAGCGCCTGCTATAAGAGCCGGTGTTTTTGTAATCCGCCCACCATTTTCTCAACTAATCCGATCATGTCACTGTCAATACGTGACCAATCACAAGTACGGGGCTTCTAAGCATGGTTCGAACTTAATTACTTTGTTTATCGGAAATTGTCAAGTTGAGACGCTTTTTTCATGTGATATCATAATCGAGCGAAATGAAACATTTTTACTGTTCTTGCTCCCGCAGCAAACACGACAAACATAGACTACGAGCAGTCTCTCATTTTTTTACTGCTCGCAGTCTACGACAAACAATGATCAGTTTCGTGTGAATACACAAGACCTTTTATCTTACAACCTCATCAAGCACTGTGATGGTCACAAAGAACAGAACACTGGCCAGCCTGAGACAAGAATAATGAAAGTAAAGGAGAATTATAAACAATTGTCAAAATGCTCAACGGATAGTTTTTACCAAAGCTTCAGCTCTCTCTTTGCAAACCATTTAAAACTCCATTCAAGACGGTATATGTTTTTGCGGAAAAGGAGGTCTTTTGAATATCGGCATTGCAGATGTCTGGTAAGAATCGCAATCGCTTTGAATCGCTGCTCAGTGTTTGGACAAATCCAGTATACAAAACCTCCTGAGCATCTCTGCCTGCTAAACAAGCTGTTACAGTCGGTTTTAGTTCGGGTTTTATCGTGAAGTGGCTACGTGATTGGAGTAATTTTGATCATCCAAAGCTTATGCCAGTAGAACACATTTTCTTGATGCCTTCGTCATGTTTGTCTCTCACACTAATACACGCCAGGATACACGCCAATAAGTTACTCATTACGGCGCAGCCAATCAGGAATTTACGGACGCCAGCGCCCGCAGAAATGAATAAAAGGGGGTTCTTAAAGCAGGCGTCCCTTCCCCTCTCTCCCATACCTCCTCCCTTTTTCCCCTTTTCCCTATCCCCTACCCCTTTCGACGCCTGCTACGTAGGCTACTAAAAAAAACAGTCCAAACAAATTTCTCTGGACAAAACTAACGTGAAGCGACGAATTTTGAGGTGGAACTTAATTAACAGAAAAGTACAAGTTTTAAAAGGTAAAGCTTGACCACGTGGTACAAATTCACTTTTGCCGTAAACGTGAGTCTAAATCTCTTTAATCTCGTTATTTTCAAATAAGGTGCTTGCTGACAAGCTTTCCATCACTGTTTCGTTGCAGTTTTTGTTTACAACTTTGCTCGGGAAAAGTGCAAGAAAATGAAACGGGTTATCATTGAAAGAACAAGAAACGTTATACTTAAAAAAAAATTCCATTAGTTTTGAATGCTAGGGTTTATGTTTTAATAATATTAATCACGTTTGACGCATATTCCTTGTTTTCCAGAAGAAAAAAAAAACACATAGGTTTCTTTTTACCTAAATTTAAGCTAATTGATGGTGCTGTATTAGATTGCCCCTATAGAGGTGATATTATTAAACGATTTTCGCTTTGCATTTACCATATTCAAAAATCTAAAATTGAAATGATTTTCTCTGGGTTCAAAGGAAGAGTAAAAACAAAATTAATGACAAATGTAATGCACTGAATTTCGAAAGAATGGCTTACTTAACGATCATTTTACTTTTCTCAAGGAATGTATCATAACACACAACTAGCCAGGTCATGCTAAGGAAGGTCTTACAAAAGTAACTGCGACACGAAATTGGCTCCTGTTTTCAAACATGTTTTACGTGGTTTTGTAGCTTCATTTGTTTATATCTCATAAAGGGAGAAGAAATCCGGTTGATAGAACATGAAACTGTTTCTTTCCTTTGCCCTCAAAAAGGCCTTAATAAAATTATAAATCAGAGACTGCTAAATNTGATTTTCTCTGGGTTCAAAGGAAGAGTAAAAACAAAATTAATGACAAATGTAATGCACTGAATTTCGAAAGAATGGCTTACTTAACGATCATTTTACTTTTCTCAAGGAATGTATCATAACACACAACTAGCCAGGTCATGCTAAGGAAGGTCTTACAAAAGTAACTGCGACACGAAATTGGCTCCTGTTTTCAAACATGTTTTACGTGGTTTTGTAGCTTCATTTGTTTATATCTCATAAAGGGAGAAGAAATCCGGTTGATAGAACATGAAACTGTTTCTTTCCTTTGCCCTCAAAAAGGCCTTAATAAAATTATAAATCAGAGACTGCTAAATTTATAAACAGAAATTAATGATCGGGCAAAGTGTGTCAAGCACCAATATCTGGGATTGACAATAATCCCTTGTGTTTTTATAACGGCAGCCTTAATCCTTTAAAAATTGTAACTTAAAACAAGTGTCGAAACCAATACACCCTTAATTCATGTCGCCTTTTATGAAAAATAAAGAGCTGGTTGCATCTTGATGTAGCCTGCTGCATTGCAGCCGTCCCTCCGGGCCGTAAAGTTTATTGCCTTACTTCAGCGAGTTACAAATTACAAATGTGAATTCTTCCACCTCATCTTCCGAAATCATCCTACTTCGCTTTTCAAAAACACGCGAATTGTGAAGTTCAAAAGCATTACTCGATCTATTAGAAAACATAATGTTACTTCAACGGGTTCAAAAAGTGTGATTTGTGATTGGTGGATTTCCATCAATTTTGTGTTTCAGTGTTTCAAGGTTCTTGCTTGTGATCAAAATAACGATTGACGGCAGCGAAAAAAGAATTCGCGTATTTTCGAAAAGCACATGTAAGACAAGTTTTGACAGTTTTGGTTCATTACTAGGGTGGTACGACTTCACGACGCTGAGAGCCACAGGAAAGAATGGTCCAGTTAGTGCTGCAGGATATAAAGGCACTTTACTCCAGGAGGTATATGTCACTAACGGTGTCCAAGAGTGGCAGGTGCCAATCACAGGAAAGTACAGTGTAGAAGCTTGCGGAGCATCAGGAGGGGACGGAATTTTGCCCAAGAAAAGGGGAAAAGGAGCAAAAGTCAGTGGCGTAATAACATTGTCAAAGGGAGATAAGTTAGCCATACTGGTGGGACAAAAGGGGTCAACACAGGATAAAAGCCACCCAGGAAGTGGGGGTGGGGCAACGTTTGTTTATCGTCCACCGAACAAACATGTCCTTATTCTTGTGGTTGGCGGGGGAGGGGGTGGTGGGAAAGAAGATGGTCTACCTGGGAATGATTCACCGGATGGCAGTGGTTCCGTTGACACGAGAGGTACTAATGGGGGTGGTGGTAAGGTTTGTCGAGATGCAAACTTTATACCAAACTCTGGGGCTGGGGCTGGTTATCTTAATAACGGGGGTTGCCTTGAAGATGGCAAGTATTGCGGGGCAGTGCACTGTAGTAAAGGGGGAATTTCTTTGGGTAAGGGTGGAGAAAGTACCACGAATTGCGATGGTGGGTTCGGCGGGGAAGGAGCTTGTGATAACTTTCACGGGGGAGGAGGTAGATATTCAGGGGGTGGAGTATCAAGTGACAAGGTGGCGGGAGGAGGTGGATCATACACGCCTGATGATGCATGGGAAGTGATAAAAGGAGGCTGTGAAGATGATGGTTACGTTTCCTTTACCGCAGAAGATTGAATCGGTTGCAATTCAGAAAACTTAGAAATCTCTAATTAACTTTTTCTTTAAGCTTGTCTTAATTTAAATGATGAAACTAAGGCAGCTTGAGCAAGTCTAGGATTATAAAATCTCCATATGATGGAAAATGTTTCGAAATATGTGCTTCTGAAAGCGTTCCCGGGCCCGTGAAAGGCCAATTTGGGCGCGATGTTTTTGTTTTTGCATTTCTAGTATCGTAGGGCGATAAGAATTACGGCTACAAGAATTGAAAGAGATCTATCGAGCTGTCTCCCTCTTTTCTAAGTTCGTCGAGCGAAACGCGCGAGAAACCTCTCGTTTCGCGCGTCTCTTGGCTTCCCCGCTCGACGCTCGCTCACGCATTCACTCTTTTCACTAAATCTGAAGAAAAAGAGAGACTGCTCGCAGTCTAATGAAACTGCGGAGAACAAAATGGCGTACTCCAAACTCATAATTCCTGCTAGTATTCGTTCTGCTAGGACGTGCCCGGATATCCATCCCCCACCGTGCTACAAGTTGGGGTTGGGGTAGCCAGAGCCCCCTTGGATTTTTGACGTGTTGTAAAATAATTGCAAACATTAAACTTTTCGTAGATAGCCTGTGACGTGATCTATATGATGATCTCAGAAACATGGGATATGACGTTGTTTAGGATCTGGATCTGTGTCATTTCTCCAACTGCTAGTTAGTGGTCGTTTCTTGTCATGTTTTTAAGGCATTAAAGCGAGGCACAAAGCCCCTCTGCTCACTGCAACAACAAAGTTTGAAAATATTTTCTCTTCTACTTCCCTCCCGTTTTGCTCGAAATTCATCTCCCGGATTGCGGTTGTGCCCTCACCTTTGCTGGGATAATTTTCTTGTCTATCCGGATTTTCCTAGCTTTATATGCTGAAATGAAATAAGCGGCGACTCTTATTGCCAAATTCATCCCAAACTGCGTGGAATTGTCATTATTTGGTATCCCAGCAAACAGATCTCACCCAAAGCGAGAACAATACCTGACTCAATAATTACTACCTAAAGGAACCTGAAGCAAAGAAACATCTTGCCTTGAAATTACTGTAAATGTGTGTAGGTGAAGGAAGGAAGGAAATATATAAAAGAGATAATTAATTAAAATATATAACAATTAAATTACATTAGATAAACGTTTATAATTTCATTAATAGGGGTGTCTATATCAGCATAACTATCCTGTCTTTGAAGATCGAGTAATAATAGCCAGTTGTGTATTTGTTTTCCTAAAAGCGTACTTAACTAGTTTTTCTCAAATTCTCAGGGATACCGTTAGAGACGGTAAAATTTAGGACCAGTCCTTTAGTGCTAACGCCTCCTATAAATGATGCTATTTTAACTTTTTCCAAGAAATTTCCTTATTTTTTTGTGAGCATTGCATTTTGCCATACAGTATAGTTTGTCCGTATGCACCGGGAAAGGGGTGGATAAATATACGAGTCCAATGAAATGCGTCGCTTTGTAAATATAGCCACAGGCTGGGGTTAATTTTATAAAATAATAATAATAATAATAATAATAATAATAATAATAATAATAATAATAATAATAATAAAAGAAGGTCAAACTATCATCTGGTTCAACTTTAACGAGTGTTTATTTGAGGAAAAAGCTCAGTAATCCCTTTGTCTGAGGCAACAGCGCTCGTGCATGCTCTGATTGTCTCGACTGAGTTAACCCGCCCGGTTGAGCCAAAGTGTTCATATGGAGAAACGTTGACCCGCCTAGGAAGACGAACCCACCATTGAATGAGCGGGGTTCCCTGACTAGGCCAGGGTAGCTCGGTAGGTGAGTGAACCTCATTCTCCCTAAACGACTAAACATATAGGATCGGATATTTAAACGAAGTCTAAATTGGGCCGCAGTTTAAGAAATCATTGGACCTCCAGATCTCTTCCTTGGTGGGTTAATTCAAGAAGATAAATGTTTTCCTAATTTACACTCTATTCGTTAATAAAACAGTTCACCGCAAATGTTGTTGCTGCGGAGCGAGCCTACGAGAGAGCAGCAACATAATCAGAATTTAAGACTGAAATATACAGCTATTTTGAGAGAGGTTGTCGGAAAAATGTGCACACGACAATGCCGAAAGGTGATATGGGATAAGATCAATATATAGTTTTCTGACACTGTAGCTGTCAAACCTACTTTTTTTGGCTCTCCTTTAGCACTCGCAAACATACGTCCATGGCCTCTCGTGCCATTCTTTCAAATCATGTTCTTTGAAAAACAGTGAACTCTAAACTACCCACAATACCATTCGGGATTATCGCGTGCACTTTTACCGACAACTTTCTCAAAATAACTGTATAAGGTGGGACGAATTCTCGAATTAATAGCCTTTTGCCAGAATGCATTGCATTTTACCAGACACTGCGCCACTATTTACCAGAATGCATTTCGCCACAAACAACTCAAATAAAAACACGAGGAAGTTCGGTATCGTTCGCTGTTCAGACTCTGAGTTTTCTTTGTGGCAAATTTTCTTCAGCACGGTTAGAGATCTTACCAAATTTGAGATACGCAGCTCAGGGATCTTTCAAATAAGTACGACGGTTAACTTGGAGATTGGATTGACTCGTCCAGGCGTTAAAGTTGATGAGAAGATGAGCATTTGCTGTCAGACTCTGCAACACGGGGATATACTCCCCGCAAATTGCAGCTTGCTAGAAGGTGATGCGAAAGTGAGAAAATGTCGTGCCATGCTATTCTTAAGAACCTGTATGAGCCGAAAATGGATGTGATTTTGACCATTAGCTTCAAAATAACAGCGGAAATTGAGATAACAAAATAAATATTTTGAGTCCTACTTTGCAGACGAGAAAGTGTATCGGCGTTTTGTAAAGCACAATTGTGTTCTTTCATTCATTCATTGCCATGGAATGCGTTTACATTGTGTTTCTTTTTTGTTTTTTATTTTTTTTACTGTTAATAGCTCGGTTAATGCGGCTGCGGAAGTTCCATGGAAAAGGCATAACATTTTGTAAATTACAGACTCTTCTCCAAGGTTACGTAATCAACCTTTGTGCTGTAGTGGTATGCTGCCGAGCTCGAGTCCTACTCAGTATCTTATCTTTTTTTCCCCCCGTTTTTTGTGTTGTTGTTTTGTATAAATATATACCTAAATAACTGCTATTTAATAAAATGCAATAAACAGCAAGGAAAGATATCGTGTTTCCAGAGAAAAGATAGCACACCGTTGTTAAATATATAGATAAACAACTTGTTGAATTTCTATCCGCATTTCCTACCATTTGATCATTTTCAAAACAATGTTCCCACGAGTTCTTCCTATAGACTGATAGAAATTAGTACTTTCTGGCATGTAAATAGGACATTTAATGTCATTTTCAAGCAGAGCAGATTGGATCACTGCCTTACGTACTAATGTCAGTATCAACAGAATGTACCGCAGCATTACTACCTTTTAGATACCCTAGTTTATAAACTAGGGTATCTAGTATCTATCTTTTATCTATAGATAAAAGCGTTGTGCAAACTGAAAATGACTTAGAACGCGGTTTTGTTAAACACGGGCTAAAGTCCGTTGAAATGATCCGCCTATAAACTTTGCCTGAATCATCTCTTGTCTTGCGCCCGGTTCAAACGACGTGCTATCGTCGTGCCAGGGATTTAGACTAGGTGGTGCCTGAACTGTGTTAAATAAGTTAGGTTAAACATGTGGCTTGGCTTTTGCCGAACTCGGACTTAATGCCGTAGTTGTGATGATGAATTTGCCATGGACTATGATATATTATTTTTGTTGATTACTATGGAGTTAATATGTTTATTAGCTTATATTTTGCTGTCTAGCAGGACTGATTGATTCAATTAAACGCCATTGAATACGATCGCACGTTCGGCGGCCACATGTACCAATATTATAGCTTTTAAATTGACTCTATGTTGATTTTCTTGCTTCGATCAGATAAGCTTTTGCTAACTGTGGCAAACGTGTGCAAAAAAAAAAATCTGTCTATAAAAATGACAAAAACTGTGTGAAACCAATATAAGACAAATTATCTTAGAATATTTCGTAACAACATTAAGAACTCTATCCTCAATTGTTATTATAATTAATTAATTATCTGCCTTAGCGCATAAAGAAATACGTTATAAATAAAAATATATATATTCTTAGTTCGGTCTGTAATTGTATTTTATTGCAGGGGTCATCCACTAGATCAGCCTTTGCTATTTGGATGACCCCGACTCGCTCTCTATTTTGTTGTTAAATTTTTCTTTTATTCCTTAGTTTTACTGTGTTTAGTTGCCTATGTAAATTTAACCCTTATGTCATGTAAATAAAGCTGGGTAATAAATGAAATGATATGTGTGGAGAGAAGAACACAGAAAAAAAATTATGAGCTCCAGGAAGAGTTTAATAAATCATCTTGTCTTGTCTTGTCTTGTCTGGTTTCAGTACTGAGGCGACGGTCTATTTTTTTTTTTCGGTTTTTTAATTCTCTAAACCCAGACATACAAAGCTTTTTTAAAAATTAGTGAGCAAATTAAAAAAAAAAACAACCTGAATTTCTAAACACCTTACTTATTAAGTCTCCTTTTCGCCGGCCTGATCCCATCTTCTTTCTTTGGTTTTCTTTCTGTTGATTGCGTCATTAGTAAAAACACATTATTGTTACCGGACTTTACCTATATATCTCGTCTTTCAATTGATATTTGCTGTTGTTTTTGTAATTCAGCTTAGAACGCCCACGTTGCATAAGCCCCGTGGTTGTTAGATAAAAGTTGGGTAAGAGTTTTCAGAGTAAAAACTATAAATCAGAGTTTTAAAAATATATATTTGTGATACGAAGTTAAAGACTGAGATTCCTTACGTTCATAAAATCGTACTCTATATCTAAAGCTTCATAATCCTATTCCGTGCCACATTATTTGCAAAAGTTGTTTCGGTTCGATACTCTGGTCCATCTAATTAAAATCACTGTTAGCGTAGAAGTGATGGACACAGTAAACATCCTCAA